GCTTGATCATCAGGGCTGCGTTTTGGCGCTGCTGCTGCAGGGCCTGTGGGTCGAGGCCTGGGTGCTGGAGTTGGAGCCCCACTGTGAAGCTCTCGAGCCCTGGGGGCGTGAACTCCCCAGGCAGGCCGGGGTAAGCGGAAGGTGAGAGGTGGCTGTCCATGCCCGCGGGGTGCAGACTGCTATTCCAAGACGTGCACCTCTCCACGGCCGGGTTACTGGGGAAGTCGAACCGAGGCCGCTTGGCCACGCTCATGTAAGGGGCATCGAAGTGTTGCAGTCTTTGATTTGGTGGCTGTTGTGGCGGAGGGGGCTGCATATTAAACACGGGGTCGGTGTATGGATGCATATTCCTATTCTCCAGTCTGTGAATAGGGTATTCAAACTGTGCATGCTGGTTCTGCATTATTGGCCCATTGTCCTGCAAGTTGGGGTTGGGAGTATTGGCGTCTGTTTGCTGTTGCCTAGGAGTTGCTGGCAGACAGGAGTTTTGTCTGGCCAATAAACCTGTCTGTTGCTGCTGTTGCATTAAAGGATGTCTGGCATTAACACCAGGCTCCATGCCCACAGACATCTTACGAGCACCTCCAAACCTTTCAAAGAACACACCATGTTGCTGCTGCGGGTGAACTTTGGACATCCCCACCATGCCTGGTGCTCTGGGCAAAACAGATGTGCCAGGGAAAGTGCCGCCCCCAGGAGCCTGTCTGCCAGCCCCATAGTGAGGAAGCTGCCCGTCTGACTCGGAAGGAGAAAACACTGGCAGATCAAAGTGTCCTGAAGGGCCATCGCTGGGGTAATTGTATTCCAAAGAATCGACGCCTCCCTGGGTGGGAAGCCTCCTCTGCTCCAGGCTATGGGAATCCGAGGAGCTAGAGGCTGGGAATCGCCGCCCCCAGGAGCCTGTCTGCCAGCCCCATAGTGAGGAAGCTGCCCGTCTGACTCGGAAGGAGAAAACACTGGCAGATCAAAGTGTCCTGAAGGGCCATCGCTGGGGTAATTGTATTCCAAAGAATCGACGCCTCCCTGGGTGGGAAGCCTCCTCTGCTCCAGGCTATGGGAATCCGAGGAGCTAGAGGCTGGGAATCCATGGAGGGCGCTGGCACGGCGTGGTTGGAGCCGCCGGAGTTATGGTGCTGGAAATCGGGCATGTTACCTGATCTCTGCTGTCCAAAACCTTCACCTCCTTGGTTCTCGGCCATATGTTCATATCCCTTGGCAAACGCTTGCTGGCTACCCATGTTATTGTTGTAACTCATCGACCGGCCTCCATGCAAGCAGGAGGTGCTGGGATCTGACCCAAAGTTGCCGCTGAAGTGGGGGTGATGCTGGTGATGGGTGTCGGGGTGATTGTGGTAAGGCTGCTGGTTGCCGAAAATGCCATGAACAGGGTGAGCCTGCATCCCCCTGCCCTGCGATCCGAGTGTCCCCGGGCATGGAAGCCGTATGCTTCCCCAGCCAGGTTCATGTTCATGCCCAGGAGGGGAGGCTCGCCCAGGGCGCTGATGGCCGGGTCCGCGGGGCCGCCGGAGTGGAAGGCTGGCGCTTTGAAGTGGGAACTCATGCTCAGGCTGGTCTGGCCAAAGTTTCTCCCTCCTTGCCCGGCGCTTCTGCTGATGATCTGCGGCCCCGGGCATGGAAGCCGTATGCTTCCCCAGCCAGGTTCATGTTCATGCCCAGGAGGGGAGGCTCGCCCAGGGCGCTGATGGCCGGGTCCGCGGGGCCGCCGGAGTGGAAGGCTGGCGCTTTGAAGTGGGAACTCATGCTCAGGCTGGTCTGGCCAAAGTTTCTCCCTCCTTGCCCGGCGCTTCTGCTGATGATCTGCGGCTCAATCTGCTCCAGCCCAAACATACTTCCGGGGGTCAGTAGGACATGGCACCCCCGTGCCCCGGTGCGCGACTCGGGCCGGCTCTCCCAGGAGCGCTCTCGGAAGCGCAGCCAGCGACAGCCCCACAGTGAAAGCCGGTGGGCAGCGTCCCTTCACCAGGCAGCGGCGGGG